ATGTTCTCTGCCCAATTAAGGAAAGGGTCAACTACCTCTGGGAGAAAATAACATTAATTTCAGCATCTATAGATATTTTACACATAATTCCTGTCATACAATTTAAAATTATGCAAAATTACTAGACTTGCAAAGAAGAAGGAAAACGTGACCAATAACAAAGAAGAAAAAACAGACATTAGAAGCAGACCCCAAGATCATCCAGATATTGAGGTTAGCAGGCCCAGACTTTAAAATTACTATTATAAATATGTTAAAGAAAAAGAGATAAAGTTTGGACAAAATGGATGAAAATGTGAATAATTTCAATTGAGAAGAACTAAAAAATGTATGTATGTAAAATCTGAAATTGGGGCCTGATCACATGAGTTTAACAGCAGACTGGTGAAAGACAGGGTTAGTAATGCAAATACAAGTCAATATAAAGTACCAAAATAAAGCTCAGAGAGGAAAATCAAATGGAAAGAAGAGAAGAATGTAAGAAACATTTATGATGTAAGGAGTGTTTAACATGTACAGAAATGCAATCCCAGAAGGACAGGAGAGTGAGAATTGGAAAGAAATTATAATCAAAAAGATAATGGCCAAGAATTGTCCAAACTTGAATAAAGATTTATTCAAGAGTTCCTATCAACACCAAGCAATATAGTGAGAAAAGCGTATTTATATCCATCATGATAAAACTTCTGAAAACTGAAGGTAAAGAGAAAAATCTTTAAAGAAGCCAGGTTAAAAAAAAAAAAAAAGATATTACACTCAAAGGAGCCACAATCATAATTAAAAAATTTTTTTTAATGTTTATTTATGTTTCAGACAATGCGAGAGACAGAGTGCAAGCAGCAGAGGGGCAGACAGAGGGAGACACAGAATCTGAAGCGGGCTCCAGGCTCTGAGCTGTCAGCCCAGAGTCCGACACGGGGCTCGAACTCACGAACCATGAGATCATGACCTGAGCCGAAGTCAGACGCTTAACCAACTGAGCCACTCAGTAGCCCCAGGAGCCACAATCATATTAAAAACTGAATTTTAATCAGGAATTATGGGAGCAAGGAAACAATGAGATGCTATCTTTAAAGAGCTGAACAGAATTTTAAAAATCACTGGTATTTAGAGTTTTAAACCCAGTGAAAATATCCTTCTGAAGTCAAAATAAAATAAAGGCCTTTTTAAGACACATAAAATGACTCCCCAGCAGACTCACATTATAAGAAATACTGCAGGACATTCTTCAGATGGAAGGAATATAATCTCAGGTGGGAGCCTGCTATCATAAGAGGGATAAAGGACACAGAAAAGAGTATTGCAATCTTCTGAGTAATCACTAAAAGAATAATACAAAGAGATATAAAAACAGAAGAATTAATAGTAGAGATAAAATGGAATAATTCAAAATATTTGACTGAAACATTCTAATGGGTCCTCGTTTCTGATAAAATAAATGCCAAGGTCTTTAGCACAGCACACTAGGTACTCCAGAATCTGGCCCTATTTACCTATCTAGCCTTAATTCTTGCCATGCTCCTTCTAGAACCATTTGGGACTATGTGTAGCCCCCAGACATTTGGGACTATGTGTAGCTTCCGCAGCAACCCATGTCACTCCCACCACCTTACATTTGCATGTGCTGCTCCTTTGCCAGAAATATCATCCCCTTTTTTCCCTACCTGACTAATCTAATAGCAACTTGACTTTTAGTATCCAGCTCAACATAATCAAGTTTCTTAAAAAAAAAAAAAAAAAAAAAAAAAGAACCATCTATGAATCTCCATGTGGTCTCACACTGGCCAGGGCATATTTCTGTCATAGTCCTTGGTATAAAACACAATTATTTGTTTCCTTATCTATTTTGACAACTAGTCTTCAAGATCATTGAAGGCTGGGCCTCTACAGGTTGACTCTGTCTCCAGCCTCTAGCACAGAGGCCAGCACAGAGAAGGCATTCAATATCTACCACAGAAAAGGCTACACACACAAATGAACAAACATTATCTCTATATCTGCTAGTTGAAGACTCTATAATATTATACAAAGCATGTTACAATCCTCCATCATCCTCAACAACTTTATTTTTAAAAAAATTTAATGTTTTTATTTATTTTTGAGACAGAGAGAGACAGGGCATGAGCAGGGGAGGGGCAGAGAGAGAGGGAGACACAATCTGAAACAGGCTCCAGGCTCTGAGCTGTCAGCACAGAGCCCGACACCGGGCTCGAACTCACGGAGTGCGAGATCATGACCTAAGCTGAAGTCAGATGCTTAACCGACTGAGCCACCTAGGTGCCCCAAGAACTTTATTTCTAAATAGCATACCAGTAGCTTAAACTCAACACCTTTTTTTTTTAATGTTTATTTATTTTTGAGAGACAGAGAAAGAGAGCATGAGTGGGGGACAGGCAGAGAGGAAGACACAGAATCTGAAGCAGGCTTCAGTCTCTGAGCTGTCAGCACAGAGCCTGATGCAGGACTCGAACCCACAAACCACGAGATCAACACCTGGGCCCAAGTCAGATGCTTAACTGACTAAGCCACCCAGGTACCCCTCAAATTCAACACATTCGAAACTCAACTCTACTCATGTGTGTCAAATTCAACGTATCACTATCTGAAGTCACCCAATGCAGTCAACCTAGGATCATGTGGACTTCTGCCGTACTTCATCCCTGATGAATTTCCTTACATTGTTTCCTTCATCTTGACCTGCCCTTCTCCTCCTTCCTTTGGACTCCTGCTTCCCCTAAGTCCCAGCTCAGATGTGACCACCTCTCTGCATTCCTTCCTATGCCCCCACAGTTAATCTGGCTTCACCCTGGATGCTTCCACAGAATATGCTGTCACAAGTCATGCATTCTGTTGTCCTCAAAGTCTGCATCTGCCTCTCCCTTTAGTTGATGGAACTTAAAAAAAAAAAAAAATTCACTCATAGGGAAGGCAAATAAGTGGAAATACTGAAAAGAGAGCAAAGGATGAAAAGCTGAAGACGAAAATAAAAAAGAGGGATGAAAAGATCTTTAAAAAAAACAGTGGAAATTACAGGAAAAAAATTTATGTTGTGAAATCCAGGAGAAAAAATTTTCTTTGAAAACTTATTAGAGTATTTTAGGTATGTCCATCCAGCCATCTATCCGCCCCCCCCCCCCCCCCCCCCCCCCCCCCCCGTACATCCACCTGCCCATAGGAGAATTCTGCCTGCTGCAGAATGTACAAGGTTCCTCACAGGAACAGGACCTCGTATTGCTGAGGACAGGTGTTTGCTGCCCTCACTCACTTTCTTGTCCCCCAGCATCTGCATACTCTCTGTCTTCTATTTCCCTTGCCTCAATTCTGATCCCTCGCTCTCTCTTGGTTTCTTCCCGTGTTCATGTTCTATGTCTCTACTGTCTTTACACTTTGTCCTGGCTCTGGGGATCTTTTCTTACTGTCTGTTCCTCAGATTCTCATCTGTCTGTGACTCAGAAGGACAAGATAAATGCTCCCCATATTTATTTGTAAAAGATGAATCATCCTGGGGGGAAAAAGGCAGGATGATAGATTGAAAGCTCTGTCAGATGCACAAATGGCTATTTAGAGCCCTAAAGTTTATGGATTCATGGTTTTAAAAGAAATGAGCAGAAGCCATTAGATGACTCTCATGAGACCAAATAAATGATTATAAGTTTAGAAAAGAAAAACTCTGAGTAAAGGCAAAGGAAGCTGATAACAATTAGACTGGAAACCATGGCAATGAGGAATGACAGCTGTCCCTTGCTTACAAGTAGAATTAAAAAAAAAAAAAAAATGTTGACCAGCTGCTCTCCTTTTCCATAGGGAACCAAGCAGAGACAAGAAGCTTAAACTTCCTCCAGCGTGGACATAAAAAACAAAACAGAACAAAACAAAACAACAACAACAACAACAACAAAAACCTCCTCCCTCCTAAAGGGTGATTATTTCTCAGGGATGATGTTGAACCCTCATCCCAGAAGATTTGAAAAATTTAGAGACCACAGATCTCAGATTGTTTGAGTATAGTTCTGATCATCTGACTGTGACAAGTTGGAAATGTGCACTTCATTAATTATTTTATTTTTTTAATTTTTTTTCAACGTTTTTATTTTTGGGACAGAGAGAGACAGAGCATGAACGGGGGAGGGGCAGAGAGAGAGGGAGACACAGAATTTGAAACAGGCTCCAGGCTCCGAGCCACCAGCCCAGAGCTCGACGCGGGGCTCGAACTCACGAACCGCGAGATCGTGACCTGGCTGAAGTCGGACGCTTAACCGACTGCGCCACCCAGGCGCCCCTAGTTATTTAAAATGAGTTCCCCGCCGGGTCCATATGCTTTCTGAGTGCCTCACTAAGATTCAGGTTGTGCCGGCTGCACTCCCGGAAGGCCCCTCTATGCGGGGAGGATTTCTGCACCGAAACTCTTCTTCAAATCCTTAGGAACTTGGAAGCCTGTAACAGTCTGAAAATCAGAGCCTTCTTTTGCACATCTTGTTTCTGAATCTCCGGAGATTACTCACTTATATTTTCTAAGCTGAGCTTTCTTGTCCTCTCATGATATTAGCCCAACACTGCAGCTGGAAGTCTTGAACACAATGCACTTTAAGGAGCCTCTATTTACAGTGTTCCACATGCCAAGAACAAAACCAGATTGTCAAAGACTCGGTTCGAAAGCGGTCTTAGGTTATCTCTTTCTCTGGTATCAGTTTTGAAAATGAAGATTATTTGGGGAAGGGGGTTCTCATCCGTGGCAGACTCAAAATACATATTCATGGCATACTGACTTCAGAAAACTGACAAAATAAAAATACACTTTTTATGTATTCCAGCCTGTTGGCTGCCCTTTTTGAGAGCACAGATCAACGGCCGAGCTATAAATCTTAGCAGTCAAACCACGCTTCCTTTCACTGCAACCTACAAGGCAAACATGTTACTTCCACGCTTTCCTACTTTGTTTTTTGAAGTGATTGAGTTGAATGGGGACAGATGATGGAGGGGTGTGGTGGCTGAGGACTTACTTTCGGAGAGCAGTGGAGGCTCTGGAATTTGGGACCACTTCTCCTTTGGCTCTTCCCTGAAATATTTCTCCGGGTCCCAAAGAAAAGCTGGTTTCGTCACTTCAGGCAGCTCTTTCAGGGCTCCGATGCTTAATGACCTGAATGCACCTTGACGACAGTGGGTTTTAGGGGAGGGCAGGAAAAAAGTAGAGTATCATTAATTCCTCAGAAGGAGCTAGCACATTTCCAAGTTAACTTTTTAAAATGTAACCTTCCTGTTACTCAGCTGGTACAGCTGCAGTGATCAGCGATGCCTGCAAACACAGCTGTTCACGATGAATCCATGGTCCTTGTATTCAAAGGGACCAAAAGGAACTTGAGGCCCCCCTTTCATTTATTTTTTTAGTTGGACTCTTTTGCTATGTTCCCTTGAAAGTGTGTATTCTGCCATTTTGGAAGAGCTCCAGTTTCTTTTATCTGCCAGAAAATTGCATCTTTTGCGGGATGGAATCTTGTTTTCACCGTTCAACAACGTATCTAAAATTCTGAATGTGCAGGTACTTTTTAATTTCGCTAACATGTAAACCAGAGCTGTGCCATTGTATTTAAGATGCACACAATGAGACGACAGAAAGGAAAGGTCTTTTATTCCTGTGCCTTAAAGCAAAGTCTCGGACAATGGGAAAAGTTTTCTTTTTGCTTCACAGGATAAATGGGAAGTGCTTCGCTTGAGATGTGATTTTATGTTTGTTTGATTGTTAGCACTGCAAAGGTAGGAACTGTGCTTTTGTCATCATGGTGGTTCAGCACCTAAGAAAAGTGAGCTAATACATATTTAGCACTTGCTATGGGACTGAAAGGGCGGGCCTACGCCGGCCGACTCCATCTTGTTCTGTGTTCTCCACCTTGAGTGACTATGTCCCAGACATGACCCCTTTTCCGGGAAAATCGAAGAAACCTCAGACCGCGCCTCCTCCCCTTGAGTAACCTCCCGCTCACCCATTCAAACTTCCTGATCAAAACACGCCCAGCGACCTGCGTAACAGGACTCCAACCCTTCCCCAGCCAATCGGCCGAGGCCACAACCCTTCCCCAGCCAATCGGCTGAGGCCACAGCCATTACCTCACCAATTGCCCCTAGACCCCTATAAAATCTTTGTGCTTTTGAAACTCGCTCTCTCCCTGGTATCTCACCGCTTCGTTGGTGCAGGTAGGGGATTGAGCTCGAGCTAGCTTGAATAAAGGCTCTTTTGCTTTTGCATCAGACTCGGCTCCCTGGTGGTCTTTGGGGATCACGAATTCTGGGCATAACAGGACAAGTCATGTGCTATGTCAGCAGTTCTCAAATTTTGCCAGGCATCACCATCACCGGGAGAGCTTGTAAAAACATAAGCTGCTAGGGGCTCAGTAGGTTAAGCATCCGACTCTTGATTTCAGCTCAGGTCATGATCTTGCAGTTCGTGGACTCAAGTCCTGCGTCAGTCTCTGTGCTGATCTCTCTATCCTTACCCTGCTCATGCTCTCTCTCAAAATAAATAAATAAACTTAAAAAAAATTTAAAAAAAAACATAAGGTGGTATATAGCACTCCCATTTCTGATTTACTAGGGTAGGGGTGGGGCCCCAGAATGTACATTTGTAAGTTCCAGGTGATGCTCATGCTTTTGCACAGGGAATCAATATGTTATATCGAACCAAGGGAGACATCTTCACAACCTGTAAAGTATCAGTTCACCCTTCTGACAGATGAGGAAATCGCAGCCCAAGGTATTGTAATAACTTGCCTGGAATTTACATAGCTGGTAAATGGCAGACCTTCAACATAAGCTCAAATACGTTTCACTCCAAAGGTCATGCTCCAAGGCATAATAGCAATAATAATAAGAGTAACATTAGTAATAAAATTGTATACGTTTCTATAATATGCCAGGTACTGTTGTATGTATAATATGCCTTATACATATTACCTCATGTAATCCTGACAAAAAGCCTATGGAGTAGATTTGTTTATAAATGTGCATTTAATATTAAATAACAATGTACGTTTTGGCAACAAAACTTCAGTAGAAATTCTAAAATTAACGTATCTACTCTATCAAAGTCTATCCCTTGGACATAAGTTGAAATAAGATTTATAGTGAGTGAAATAGTTTCACATTGTGGAGCTTTACGAAATTATTCTCATTACACTTGTAAATAATACCCTTCAGTATGATAACAACTCTTGTTTCAATTACTTTTTAAATCATTCTTTTTCTGGTTAGCCCAAACCAAACTAATATTGTTCTGTATAGCTTTGGGCTTCCTGAGGGCAAAAATATATTTTATTCATTTTCATCTCTTAAATACTTAGGGGACAGAATTAGCGTTCTGCACCAACTCTATTTTGGATACTATAGTGGGCACTTTGTGTGTGTGTGTTTTCTGGCTTAGACCTTATACTTCAGCCATTTGTATGCTGTGCAGCCTGGGACAAGTCACAGTCTCTCTGATGTGTCTGAGCCTCACTTTTCTCCTTTGTTAAATAGAGATCACAGGACTTTACCTACCTTTATGAAGAAACACCAGCATTCCTGGCACATAGAGTAGCTGTTTGTTGTATGTCTACCAATCTATAAAATAACAACACTATAAAAATATGTCAACAGTGATTACTTACTGGATGATTTTTGTATAAATTCTCCCTTGTAAAGGTTATGTGTTTTTTTCTTCAAGATATTTCTTTCCTTATATTTTATACCTAAATTTATGACTTCTGATGGTCTGACACTGGAAGAAAATAACACATGATGAAATACAATATCAACCACAAAGGATGAACAGGTACTTTCAGGCTTTAAATACATACCTTACTTAGACCAAAAAAAAAGAAAAAAAGAAAAAAATCTTTATACTGTGGACCTAAGGGGCGATATTTGTCAACACTAATCAAGCCATATCTTTGAATAAAATGTCTGCTAGCCAGGTGATGATGTAAAAGGGTAAGAGCTAAGTTAAGGCCAAGAGGCTAGTTAAGCAAAGATTTCCATAGCAACTGGCACGTCAGAGAAAAAACTATCCAGAAGAAAATTTCACAGAAAAACACACTATTCTTGCCCTGTGTACAAAATATATGGGCTAATCAGTGGTATGTGTCAAAAACTTACTCAATGTGAGGCCTGAATCGTCACTTATGATATCCAAAATGCAAAAAAAGTTCAGTGGTTTTGAAAGTTTTGAGGCTTATCATATGAATCTATAGGGAAAGTTTAGATTAACTTGACTCCATGGAAATTTTTTTCTCAGTAAAACAGAGGGAGTGTAATCATTATTTAGCTGTCCCTAATTCCTGCCAGAAAACAGGAAACGGTCTCAAATATAGTTAGCATCCACTGTGTAGACCTTCACCTTGACAGTGACAAGCTGCATTGCCAAAGATCAGTATTCTTCTCTTGGAGGCATCAGGTCAGAAAACACACCCATTTTTTGCACAATTACTGCGAGCCCTGCGGCCTGCCCTCTCCCTGCACCTCCTCTCCTTGAGTCTCATGGTTACTGCCCTCCCAGCCCCTAGCTTTTATTCTCAGTTCTGCTGCCTCCTGAGTAGCTGCAGAACCTCGAAATGTTTCCTATACTCTCAGCCTCAATTTCCTGCTCCACACAATGAGATTCTTACTGTGGTTTTATTTTTATTTTTATTTTTTTTTATTTTTTATTTTTTTTAAATTTTTTTTTTCAACGTTTATTTATTTTTTGGGACAGAGAGAGACAGAGCATGAACGGGGGAGGGGCAGAGAGAGAGGGAGACACAGAATCGGAAACAGGCTCCAGGCTCCGAGCCATCAGCCCAGAGCCCGACGCGGGGCCCGAACTCCCGGACCGCGAGATCGTGACCTGGCTGAAGTCGGACACCCAACCGACTGCGCCACCCAGGCGCCCCCTTACTGTGGTTTTAAAGGAGAGGAGATGGATGGCTGTTCAGCGATGTGCCTAATAAATAACAGTATTCAGTAACTGTTCACTTCCTTCCTTATCCTCTGCTCTATTTGGGCGGTATTTCCCAAACTCAAGAGTTTAAAATATCAATACAAGTGAAATTGAGTCTATGTATCTCACAGTTATATTGTGTGCTCTTTATGCAGCTTTAAGTAGCGATTTATTGATTGCTTTTTTATACAGGAATAAACTTTTCATTTTAGAGTAATTTTAGATTTACAGAGAAGTTGTGAAGACGGTACGGAGTCCTGGTATATCCCTCACCCAATTTCCCTGTTGTTAACATCTTATATTACCATTTATCACAATTAAGAAGTCAATATTGGTACATTACTATGAACTAAACTCAATATTTTATTAGGATTTTCCTACTTTTTTCCTAATGTCCTTTTTCAATCCCAAGAAATCACATTATATTTAGCTTTCTGACTCCTTAGCTTCCTCTGGTCTATGGCAGTTTCCCAGACTTTCCTTGTTTTTCATGACCTTGACAGTTTTGAGGAATACTTGTCAGACTTTTTTGTAGAGTGTCCCTCAATTTGTGTTGGTCTGATGTTTTTCCTATGGTTAGATTGGGGTTATGGGTTGTGGGGAGGAAGACAATGGGGATGAAGTGCTATCTATTCTCACTACATCTTATCAAGGGTACATGCTATCACGCTGACATTACTGCTGATGTCAACCTTATCATTGGCCAAGGTTATGTTTGCTAAGCTTCTGCCCTATAAAGTTACTTATCTCTTCCTTTTCATATACTACACTCTAGAAGCAAGTTTCCAAGCACAGCCTATGCTTACGGGTGGGGGGGGGGCGGTGACAATGGGATTTAAGCTCTGTTTCCCTGATTGGGTGAAGTATCAACATAAATTATTTGAAAATTATAGATTTTTAAAGGAAATCCTTGGCATCGAAAAGACTAAAGGCAGGTGGCATGTTTTCCCCAAAGGACGCTATAATAGCTCCCTCAAAATGTGCTATCCCTCTTGAATAAGAGGGATATTTAGCCACTATCTGGGCCTGGAAATATTATTTAGCCACTATCTGGGCTTGGAAACTGCAAGAGTATCCAGACACAGTCATTTTCAGTAAGAGAACTTGTAACAATAAGAAGTTGGTGGTGGGTACAGGAAGGGTAGAGAGTGGTGCAGTTATACCTTGTAGTTATCACATCTAGAATATTTTTCCCCCCAGAAAAGTATTACTGTTACAAACTGAGGTACAAAATGTTGAGGGAGGCCTAGAAGTAAGGAGGTCCATCTTGGCACTAGATAATACCAGACCTTTATTTTCCCCAAACACTCTGAATTCTTTCCCACTTTTAGGCCGTTTGCTTCCTGGCTGTCATCCAGTGATACTAAAATCACTTTGTCTATCTCCACTAAAGAGTTTAATCCACAGAGGGAAAGGGGCAGGCAAAAACTAAGAGAGAATCTCCTGGGACTCACAACAAATTGTACTACTGAATTGACTGCCAAGGAAACGTAGCCACAGTGATAAAGCTCTAACCAAAGGGCAGTTCTATGAACCACGAGACAGCAGAATCAACGTCATGTTCAAAGCCCAACATACTGCTTCCTTTCCATAGACATTTGACATTTGGGGGGATGGTTACTATGAAAATGTAAACACAAAATTGGAAAGAGATGAATATTCTCAAAATTCCAATATTCCTACTGGAAGAAGACAAAAATGCAGAATAATGCAATAAAAAGCCTGGATAGAGTTAAAACTTTGCAAAAAAGTCTTACATGGTGATGCCAAAAGGGCGCCTACCAGGGGCTCTGGCAGCCTTGCCATCAATTCTATGAGAAAGGCTCTAACTGATCTCCTGTCTCTTGGTTCAGGGTATGGAAGGAAGGAATGACATGTGACAAGTCCCCAAGAGCCTTACTAGGCATTGAAGGAAAGTGAAAGCAACTAGAGTTGTGGTTTAGCAAAGCACGTACTTGATAAAATATTTGAACGCTCGACTCAGAATCCAATAACTGTTCCTTATTGACACATGATGCTTCTTGGACAGGCAATATGGAAGGGCAGCTAAGTGCAATGTCTCTAGAGGCAGAATGCCTGCTTGGGGATCTCTGGTTCACCTTTTTACTGACGGGTGGACACTGGGCAGATCACTTAATGTCTTCCTGCCTTCTTTCCTAGTCGTGAAATGGGCACTGTAACTGTTACCATGCCAAAGATCACAGTGACAATTAAATGAGTGAAACACATAAAGACAGTAGAACTGTGCCTGAAATATGGTAGGAGCTCCATAAGTACCGACTGTTGTCACTTTAAACAAGAATAATAAAATATTTTCCACTCAGAGTAGGAGTTCCAGCACCCCTCACGGACAATTCTAATACTCTTGGGAACTATCAAATGATAAGACAAACAATAAGGAGATGTGGCACTTCCAAAAATTACAATTTGGTGTCGTAGTATTTTTATCACTTAAATTTTTAAAACTGAGTAGACTTTCACTTGTCATACATGGGCAAAGGATAGTTATTGCCACAGATTGTTGGCAAAAGTAGACTGTCAACCCTCCAAGTGTTTTATGTCATATAAGGCCTAATTTCAAATGAGCTTTAAAAGTTTTGTATATTTTGTCTTACAGCTGTCCATAAATTTTCTAATTTAATTTCTCACATAAGATCAATTGGCAGGATAATTAGGTAATCAACAGCATATAAATAATATTAAATATCAATTCTCTCCTAACCATAGTAAGGAATTTAGAACATCATTATATTTTCTCAAGTCTAAGAAACATCAATTTTAAGTGTGCCTTCTGTCTCATAGAAATTTACGGAGAAATTAATGGAAATTTGTTTCATTTCCCATCTGATTCTTTTATCCTGGTTTCTGATAATTAACCCTTTCCCCATAAGTAACTTTTTTAATGGGAGCCAGTGAAATGTGTCAAATAGTAGAAGGCAGACTTCCTTTTTGTTGCCCTAGAGTAAGAATGAAGATCAAGGAGAGAGAGAGAGAGTTTTTTACAAATTAATAGATTTGACTTAACATTAGAATCATTCTATAATAAAGAGTGGCTCAAAAAGAGAGAAGGCCAGGGGTGCCTGGATGGCTCAGTCAGTTAAGCATCTGGCTCTCGGATTTGGCTCAGGTCATATCTCAGTTTTGTGGATTCGAGCCCCGCATCGGGCTCTGTGGATTCTGTCTCCCTCTCTCTCTGTCTACCCTTCCCCCTTTTACTGTCTCTCTCAAAATAAATAACCTTAAAAAAAACTTTATTTTTTTTAAATACAATTTATTGTCAAATTGGTTTCCATACAACACTCAGTGCTCATCCCAACAAGTGCCCTCCTCCCTGCCCATTACCCACTTTCCCCTCTCCCCCACCCCCATCTACCCTTGATTTGTTCTCAGTCCTTAAGAGTCTCTTATGATTTGCCTCCCTCCCTCTCTGTAACTTACCCCCCCCTTTCCTTCCCCCATGGTCTTCTGTAAAGTTTCTCAAGATCCACATATGAGTGAAAACATATGATATCTGTCCTTCTCTGACTGACTTATTTCACTTAGCATAATACCCTCCAGTTCCATCACGTTGCTGCAAATGGCCAGCTTTCATTCTTTCTCATTGCCAGGTAGTATTCCATTATGTATATAAACCACATCTTCTTTATCCATTCATCAGTTGATGGACATTTGGGCTCTTTCCATAATTTGACTATTGTTGAAAGTGCTGCTATAAACATTGGGGTACAAGTGCCCCTATACATCAGCACTCCTGTATCCTTTGGGTAGATCCCTAGCAGTGTTATTGCTGGGTCATAGGGTAGTTCTATTTTTAATTTTTTTGAGGAATCTCCATACTGTTTTCCACAGTGGCTGCCCCAGTTTGCACTCCTACCAACAGTGCAAGAGGGTTCCCATTTCTCCATATCCTCGCCAGCATCTATAGTCTCCTGATTTGTTCCTTTTAGCCACTCTGACCAGCATGAGGCAATATCTCAAAAAAAAAAAAAAAAACTTTAAAAAAACAGAGAAGGCCATCTTTAAGATGGTGAGTGCATCGCACAGAAATTATTCAGAAAGACTCCAGGATGTGCTTCTCTTAAGGATGTGTTAGGAATCAGTCTAGTGGATGTCTAATACCTCTTACAAACTCATTTTTAAATTATTAAAGGTTAATAAACACGTGGGGAAAAAAGTTCACTCTCACAAATAATCAAAACATTCAATTTAAACCAATGATGAGATCTCACGGCAACAGGTTTAAGACAATGACCACACGCAGTGTTGGTTCACAGGCGGCAGTTACTCTACACCGTCTACACTGCTCCTGGAGGAACCCACATGTCTCAGAACAGCCATTTAGCAAGAGGACCCAAAGGCCTTTGCAACTTTGGTCTCAGCAACTTCATTTCAAAGAATTTATTCTAATGATGAATTCAGTTGGGTATTCTAACACGTATGCATGAAAGCGTTTGAAGAAATGTTTCCCTGGTTAAAGTTTGTTAACAATCTAAGTGTTCAAAAAAAAAAAAGAAAGAAAGAAAATGGTTACAAAACTAGATAATAAGTTCCTAGGGAGTCATGGCGAATGTTGATGTCTGTGGACGCTCCTATTAATTCATACAGAAATGTAATCACTGTGGATTTTTTTTTTATTATTTAAAACAACTTTTTAAAAATGTTTATTCCTATTTGAGAGACAGCGTGAGCAGGGGAGGGGCAGAGACGGCAGAGAGACAGAATCCAAAGCAGGCTCCAGACTCCGAGCTGTCAGCACAGAGCCTGATGTGGGGCTCGAACTCATGAGCCATGAGATCATGACCTGAGCCGAAGTTCGATGCTCAACCAACTGACCCACCCCAGCGCCCCTTCACTGTGGATTTTTTGAATGATAAAGCAGGTTATAAGCTAGGTACGCTAGTCTCCAGTTTCATAAAATGTGCCTTTGTTTATTTGTTTACATGCCTGGAGCTAGAAATGCCTAAGTGCCAGCAACAGTTTTGTTACAGGTAATTTTTTATCTTTTTCCTTGGTGCTTATTTGTACATCCAAAATTTCTCCTAAAGGACATGCATTATTTTTGTAATAAAGAAATACTCTAAAGTTATATTGTCTGAATTCTTCATTTTGTCTATAACTTTTCTAGGTAAGAATATTCTGTGTGGGTCCAGAAACCAAACATGCGTTAATTAAGAAAAAATGCATGTCTGCTGTGGTTTTTGTTCCCTATTTTATCCTTTCATTTCTTTCTTTCTTTCTTTCTTTTCTGAATCTAAGGAAGGAAAAATTCCATTTCTCTGCATTAACTGTTAACATTAGGAATTTCTATTAGTCTCTTAAATTCTATATTCATCTTTATCTCCCCAGGACTTAAATTGAAAATAACATTTTACCACCTACCTACTTCTCACACATAATATTATACAATACCTTAAGTGTTATGGAAACCTGTTATTTATGCATAAACCAGAAGATAATACATGTCAAGATTTTTCTCCTGGAGACAGGATCTTAGGAGTTAAGATGAGAATGTAGCTTTAAAGCATCTGATTTTTCCCTTTATTTTTCCTGCTTCTCCCATTTTCTATTGGCTTTTCCTTTGTGCATCTCCATTTTTCTTACCGTTTCCCCTCCATCTGAACATACCCCCACCTGCCTACGGACTCACCGGATGTGCTCTTTCTCTCCTTAGTTCTCGTAAATTCTCTCACCTATTTTTAAAGAAATAGTTTTGCATATGGATAAGAACTGGCATGATTCCCTCCTTGCATTTACTAATCTTTTGAGGAATAAGGCATGTTCTTCAGAATAATATTCCCTTAAGGAGAATACACCCTGCAATCTCTTTAGTATTGGATGGAGGCCATAGAGGACATTTTCCAGTTGCTAATTACATCGCACTTGTATGTTTTCCATGGAGGATCCCTGGTTGTGCTCTTGGGAGAAGTGAAGGACACCTGCCAATTCTGAGGATATGTTTTTAGCCCTTTTCTTTCAATTAGTTCGAGAGCTCCAAAGTGACTTTATTCTATACTATCTCCTTACAATAAAGTCTTAAACTTGTTTGAATCAAGTCATCTGACTTAGAGCAGAAATTTTAAAAATCACGGGTATTTTTTACATACTGTCATTTGAAAAGATGAAGTAGAATAGAGGTAGCTCTGCTTTTTACTGCTGACAACTTCTAAGGAAAACTTGAATTAAGGAAAAAAGAAGAATTGAGTGTGTCAATAGGAATAGAAAATTCGAATATTAGCTGAAATACTCTTAAAAAAGAATATGTTCTAACAGTTGCCTTCACTCTGCTAGGAGTGTGACAGGAAGAGAAACAATGATCTATCTGTGTTACCCTGGGGTAACTTTATTTCCTTATCTGTAAAATTGTGTTGGGTGGCTGGGTGAGGGCATTTTTATCGTGTCTAAAATCTTTCTATTCCCAGCATTCTATTATTGTACAGGATTGGTCATGCTATATTTCTAAATTGAAAAGATCCTTCTGCCTGAAAGTAAAATGCCACTTGACATTTCAGCAAACCATAATTCAAGGAAATGGAAGAACAAATACCAAAGTGTAATTTAGTGTAACAGGATGTTTAAGGGGATTTTTTTCCCCCTTCTCTCTCCCTGTCCACCGAGGTCCAAAAAGTCTGAAAGCAAAATAATTAATTAGTTAAGGGGCAAAAAGTATTCTCATCTTCCAGAGTGAGGTGATAGATTCCTGGGGCAGAACAAGGAGATAGCTCTGAAACCAACCTGCTGACACCCAGGCCGGCCACCATTCTAGGATATAAATAGGCCAAAGATGCCGTAAAGAGAGGAGCATTGTAGGTATGCACTGAGTCCAGCTCCGCTGGGGCAGGAGGGAAGCTTCCCCTTCAGTTCTAGTTTCGCCTCCCATGGACCAGTCAAAAAGTCTAGTGTATGCCCTCTGGGGTAACCATTAGAGAGACAGAATGGATCAGTGGCTCATTAATACCTGCAAAAGTCTACAGGCAAAAAGCTGCGGCTGAAGCAACCCATGTGAACAAGGAAAGAAGGGCAGCCAGGGAGCCGTGGGTGTGGCAACAAGGTGTGAGCTTCCTATGGGCCAAGCTCAAGTTGACTCGGGAGAAGTGGGGCAAGTGGGGAGGCCTGCCATTGTGAGAGACTGTAACAGAAAAACACCGGATATGTATTACCGAAAGTAACCCCAGTTAGTGGGGCTAGGCCATAAGAGATTGGCCAAAGAACGCGCTGATTTGGACATAGGCAATGCAGAGGTACCTGAGAATTGTCGTTAAAGAACCTCCCACCCAAACTCTTTAATGCACACTATGTACTTTACTAATCATAAAGTATCAATATTGGTGCATAAGTTGTAACAGATAAACCGCACTAATGTGGGATGGGAGTAGAGAATGTACTCTCTATACTTTCTGTGCAGTTTTTCTATAAACCCCCCAAAGGTAATATGCACATGGTAAAAATTTTGCTTTCATCTGTATCAAAGAAAATACAATGAATAAAATCAGCCTTTCAAAAACAATAGTTTTTGAGTCTGAAAGATGGAATTATGAGGGCATGGGTTAGCAACAGTGTAGGAGACAAAAGAAATCAGTAAAACTCCCTGGCATTGGAGAGTAAGAGGGATGTGTAAGAATGGGATCTAGCAGAGTGGGGTGAAGAGAAGAAAAGGCTGAACAAATGAAGAAAAGGCAAGAGTTAAAAGGAGAGTCATACCTAAGACTCAAAGGTAAGCTCTTTGAACCTCTGTCATATAAACCCCTGTACATGTTACCAAAACCAGAAGCAAATCTGACATACATTTTGAGATAGATACGTACATACATACACACATACGGTGTATCGTTTTTGGGGAAAAGGGCTAATTTCCACAATTAGATTGATGATGGAGCAGAAACAGAAGACTAGAAGATCCTGAATAGAAATGGAGACAAGAAATCAAACCAGATATAATCCTGAAAATATAAATTCTCCCCCCACCACACACATCCTTGAAGCAGTCATTGGCTATTCCATGTAGAACAGAAGGAAGTTTGGGTCAATCTTACTTAGGTCTTATCTAGACTCCAGTTGGCATCCAGGTGACACTTAAAATTACTTACTTGTATGTGGAGCCATCTTTGTTTTTCTTATCAAGTAGAGAACGTTCTGGTAGGTCTAAACATGATTCCTCCTTAGAAAGTAAAGGAATTTCTCTTATGCTTTCTTCTTGACTCTCACTTTTCATTACATTAGTATCCCTTTTAGGAAGGGAAAAACTGTTTTCAATTTGCCAGTGCTTTTCCTGAAAAAAACAGACCATTATTTTATTTTTATGACATTTATTTTTCTTGAACGTTTATGTGCTACACTTATTAACTGAATTCCTGGGTACACACACACAAAAAATTAATGAAGCGTGGTTCTTCAAAGTCATTATAGTTTTATAAGGGAGATGAGGCATATATATGTAACTTTATTTTTTAAATTTATTTATTTAAATTCAAGCTAGTTAACATACAAGGTAGTATTGGTTTCAGGAGTAGAACCCAGTGATTCATCTCCTGCATATAATACCCAGTGCTCATCCCAACAAGTGCCCTCCTTAATGCCCATCACCCAGTTAGCCCATCCCCCAACCCAATACCCCTCCAACAACCCTCAGTTTGTTCTCTGTTTTAAGTCTCTTATGGTTTGCCTTCCTCTCTGTTTTTATCTTATTTTTCCTTCCCTTCTCCTATGTTCATGTTTTATTTCTTAAATTCCACATATGAGTGAAATCATATGATATTTGTTACACGTAACCTTAAGAAACGTAGACAGGACTAAGTGTTGTGAGAAACAAACATTCTCTGAAAAGATAATGAACTACAAAAAAACTGGCATTCCCACTTTAAATTCTTGAATAGCAAGATGTATGCTTACCAAAAAGAAAAACAAAACTTTTACCAAAAAATTACCAGTTAATTTTTCATACAACTGCTTTCTTTGCATCTTCCTAAAAATATCTCAAAAACCAATCAAATGGGGCGCCTGGGTGGCGCAGTCGGTTAAGCGTCCGACTTCAGCCAGGTCACGATCTCGCGGTCCGTGAGTTCGAGCCCCCGCGTCAGGCTCTGGGCTGATGGCTCGGAGCCTGGAGCCTGTTTCCGATTCTGTGTCTCCCTCTCTCTCTGCCCCTCCCCCGTTCAGGCTCTGTCTCTCTCTGTCCCAAAAAATAAATAAACGTTGAAAAAAAAAATTAAGAAAAAAAAAACAATCAAATTATTGAGCATTTCCTTCCAGAACATATGTTACATGCTAGTTTTCACAAAATTTGGCTATAAGTCTTAATACGTTTCCACCTAGCAGAAGCTCTCATTGACATTCTATTTCATATTTGAAAAACAGAATCAATTTCCTTGTCTTATGTCAATTCCTATTATATACACTGGAATGCATGATATGTGTGATATGAGGGAATTAGGCATCCCCAGGATATCTGTGTGGCCTATAAACTGATAACTTGTCAGCAGATATTGTATAGTAAAATGGCTACAGGGGCCGGGAAGATAATGCCAATGAATGAATCAAGCCTCATATAAGGCGATAAGTAGCAAATGAAGTTCAGCCCCAGTGTTCATCATCAATGGGAAAAGTGGGGACGACAGTGAATTAGAGAGAACCCATTTTATAGTTACTCTCAGGGACTGACATGTTCTTTTTCAAGAGAAGCAAGAAATCTGGATCTGGTATGAAATCTTTAATGTTTAAATATGAGCAACCAAGTTGGGCATCCGGGGGCCTCAGATGGTTAAGCATCCGACTCTTAATTGCAGCTCAGGTCATGATCTCACAAGTTTATGAAATCGAGCCCCATGCTTGGGATTCTGTCCTTCACTCTCTCTCTCTGCCCCTCCCCCATTCATGTACATTCCCTCTCTCTCTCAAAATAAATAAACTTAAAAAAATGAGCAACTAAGTCAAGTTTTACACACTGGGTGAATAGTCACAACCAAACTCACTGGCCCCCACAGGACCAGGAGGAGAGGTGTCAATGAGCACATTCTGCCCAATACCACTGCCGTTAGTGTGCAAAGCGGGGCACCGAAGGCATGCATGTGACCCCTAATTTCTTTCGATAATACAATCATCTGACAGTCACCTGGGACAAGTGTATCTCCACAAAAACATCATCCCCACCCTATTTTCCAGTGCTAGAAATAGACATACCACACCTTTACTTTCCAAAATCTAACTTGAAAACCAACCACAGATCCGTAGGTACGTTATAAAAGTTATTTACACTTCTGAAAATAATAACTTCACCCATGATATATATATATATTCAATCACCTGGCACTAAATTTTAAATATTTTAATCAGACTGCATGTGACTGGAAAATTAAGTCTTAATGTGGGAAATTAAAGTACATTGTTGTTTTGGTTCCTATTTTTAGAACTGCTAGGCCAGAATTAATTCAACTGAAACACAAATGTAACATTCAAATGTAAGGCAAAAGTCATGACACTGTACACATCAAGTTTGTTTAGCAAAAACTGTTCTAATCATAGTATGTTGACTAATTGGGTCTCTTCTCCTTCTTATCTATGTATTACCATCTGCCTCTTCTGTTTTTTCTCCAAAAGAGTGACTCTTCTTACACACCATGAGAAGGACATTCAAAACTGCTATTTTCTGGTATCAACTAATTTATTGTCTTCCCTTCCCCCCTCCTCTCTTTTCTTCTCACCCTACCCTTTCCCCTTGGGACTAGCGGCACCTATATTCAAGACAGCTTGATCAAAGTGAGCTCTCAAGGGAAAACAAAACAAAATAAAACACAAAAACAACAATGATAAAAAAAAAAAAAAAAAAAAAAAAAACCTCAAGCAGAAGAGACCAGGAAATCCAGCTGTCCCCAAGTCTGCCAGCCTTTACTTTCTAGGACTATCCCAGCTCTGGTGGCTCTTTTTCCTGTCTTGAACATAAGGAAAATACCGAACTATTTTTACACAGGCTTTTTGAGGCTAAAATCCTTCAAAACACAAAGACTTTATAAAACAGCTAAGGACAAAAATCAAAGGCATAAAAGTGAACAATTTTACTAGCACATGCTTCTTCACCAAAATAAAATTTAGCCACATATTCTGTTTGGTGGGCACAATATGGCACCCACACCTAGAATGGGCCTATTTCTTGCTTCAGCCTCATCTAAAGAACTACACTCCAGGTATCAGCCACTTGATGAGGCTTTGTTTCTTTACCTGTTGTTCTAACCTCTACCTCATCTCTCCGGAGCCCATGAGGCATGGCATACAGCAATTCAGCACTGCATTAACTTCCTCACTTACAGAAGCGTCTTTCCAACTCATTTTGTGCTCAGAATGCCAGCTGTGCTCCTCTGTCTCACTTACCACACACCTACACACATACCCATTTGAGTTCCCACTCAGATGCTCTTTTTCCTGACTGGGGAAAGTCTAGCACTTGCCTTGGGTACAGGGCAGAAGACACTATACAGCTCTTGAGTGTTACCTTGGGGCTCCCATATTACCCAGCCAAATATAGGCCCACCATCCCAGATTATTTTCTGATTTACCATCACCCTTTGTGTCCCATAGGGTTGGATAAAATTCTTTTGGGACAGGTTGACATCATCAAACTGATTCAAAAACAGAGCAACAACATATTTTGTCTTCCAGCATGAAGATAGTTGCTGTGTTCTCATGGCATGAGTGGCAATGGGGCTGCAGGATAGAACCCAAGCAGTGAGCCAGACAGAAATAAAGGTTTCAGCCTGACCTCACGTCACCATGCTTCAACAGCACTGGTTGAAACAGGTCTCGGGCGCCTGGGAGGCTCAGTCGGTTGAGCGTCCGACTTCAGCTCAGGTCACTATCTCACGGTCTGTGAGTCCAAGCCCCGCGTTGGGCTCTGTGCTGACAGCTCAGAGCCTGGAGCCTGCTTCGGAGTCTATGTGTGTCTCTCTCTCTCTCTCTGCCCCTCCCCCACTCATGCTCGCTCTCTCTCTCTCTCTCTCTCTCTGTCAAAAATAAATAAACATTTAAAAAAATAAAAAAAAAAAGAAACAGGTCTGTAATTTTGTACCCCAAATCACAAAGAAAACAGGAACAGAGTTCCCATGAAAATAAATGGAAAAGATAAAAGAAATGTGAGACAATTAATATTTCCTTTCTACCATCCCCCCAACTTCCATTTCTCTTAATAGGCAGGGATACATGAGAGCTTAGTTTCATAGGAGGAAGAGGTTAAAACCATGAGCTCTGAAATGAGCCAGCTTGAGTTAAAAGCCAAACTCTACTACTTATTAGCCTCTGTGGGCTCAGGAGATTTATTGAAACTCTGTACCTGTTTTCCCATTTGTAAAATGGGAATCATGAGAGCTCCTCCCTCATTGGATGAGCAATTATAATTACAGGAGATAATTCATGGGAGACCTAGAACAAGACCTCACTCACATAGGAAAAACTCAGCAAATGTTCGCTATTGTTATTTTGACAGGAGTAAATCAGACATAGAATAGGAAGGTTTGTTTTTTTCTAAAAGTTTCCATATTTCATTATTACCTTGATTATTAATTGACATTGTCTTCTATCTGTTTAAGAACAACATGGTAATTTTTCCTACATTGTATTTTTACTAAGCATTGAAATGGAAGAACTTCATTTATTTTAGAGGAGAAACTTTTCTCAGCAATCCTGGAACATTTTGAGCTGTATACAGCCACCATCTTTCCATGTCTCCAGAGTCTTCCACTTGATGGAACTGTCATGGTTACTGGTAAACAGGACAAGAGACGCCTGGAGCTACAGCTCTAGAAATGGAAGTCAGTTCTTTTCATGGCTAATGAATATTAACAGCCGATGAGATTCAAATAGAAATCAGCCCAAGTTCATACTACATGTCACGTAAATACTAGAATAACAAAGAAGCAATATTTCTACCTGACCAAAGATCCAGACAGGAGCACCGAAGACGTCAGTCACACAAATGCTGCAGTCTGCAGAGGAGGAGATAATCAGTAGGCGGCCGCCCGGCTTACACATCTCTAAGGAACTTATCCGGGCTTCATGAGGTCGGAATGATCTTATCAGAGTTGGGGCCTGTGTGATTTTGCTCTTACTGGAATTAAGACAGTACTCCTGAATAAAAAGAAATGCCAGCATTCTAAAAAGTCCAAATATTAAATTCTTCCAGTGACATAACACTTTTTCTTAAAACATCTGATACGGAAATGAAAAAAAAGGACATTTGGGAATAATAATCTATTCTCCAAATGCAAAAGAATAGTTCATGATAACAGAGTTCAGAAAAATGGTATTAAGTTTCAAAAAAAAAAAAAGTTTCTAACCGATTTGCCTAACTCGAGACGTTTAAAGAAAGGAAGAAGGGGAGGGGAAGAGTCACAAGAAGAAAAAGTGAACAGGGAAGTCAGTTATTTGATAGAGATGAACTTTATCATGTGTATATAGATGTGTATTGTACAATTGTACAATTTTATGCGATTGTACGATTTTACAATGTTATTAGAAAATTGAGCAGTTTATCAGTGACAGAAAAATCCCAAACCAATTCAAGAGGACAATAATGTTGGATGAAGGGCCTGTACTCTTTCTAAATGAGGTTTACAATCTCATTTCAAATAAGGTACATCCTAATTACTTATGCTCAAACAATGCTGCAGTACCTAACTGACAATACCGCGTTTCTGAATTCGGTGACTGACTTGACTACATATTAGCAGAAGATTTTCAATATTGAGAAAAATCTAGTTTTCTCCAAACATCATGGAAGAAATTTCTCTGCTTAAAGCATGTAAATGTTTCCATTAAAATACTCAGGCTGATCATGTCTTCCCTTACCCAGGACACAGACAAAACCGAACTCGTAGTTGTGTGCCGTCAAAGGCAATCGAAAATAATAAACATGAGAATTCTTTCAAGTTACCTCTATATTCCAGATTTTCAACTGTCCATCCAGATCTCCTGTGGCAAGGTATTGGTTTGCCTTATCAGTAGACATAATAATGGATCCAACTCCACCATGAGCCAAAAATTCAGCCAGAAGTTGCTTCTTAAATGTGTCCCAGAACCTGACATAGCCAGAACCTCCACATGAGACCAGGTTAGCTCCTCCTAACATATAAGAGAACACCTACTTAGGAAAATGTGACAACAAACACCAGAGAAAAAAATATCTTCAGTGGCTCACCCTGTGGGAAGCATAAGGATGTTGGAGAGGTAGGCAGTCCTGATACCAATTTCCAGCACTTTCACTCTCTCAAATATAAAATGGACATAATCCTATGGTACCCTTACTGGTTTGGGTGGAGTATTAAATGAGATAGGAAAGGCAAGATGATCCATTACATCGAGTTCCTTTTCCTCCATTCATTATTTCGATAAAACTGGGTTTTTAAAGCTAGATAGACTTCATTTGTTACTCCAAATAAATTTACAAAGACGTTATAATACTCCAGTTACATAAACTCATCTTTCTTAATAACCCAGTGGACACATACACCAAACAAGGAGAATTCCTCCTGCACAGAGCTGGATGCATATATTTAGTTAGAGCAGCATAGTTATTAATTACTCTATGTGGCATCATGCTTAGGATTCTATTTATGAGCTTGTTTTTCATTTTTCATCAAGAATTCATTAGAACCCCTTATGGAATACTCTTTTGGTTCATAGGCCTAGAACTAACCTTTTCATTTTCTATTTTCATATGCCTTGTAGAAGCACTCTCCCTAAATTATTCTTCTGTGGCAAAGTTCCTATTATTATTTGATAAATCTGTAGATGACTTTCAATTTACTTCACAAATGTACTGCCGATTAACAATCATATCTGTTTAAGGTAGAAATAATGGCATGTAGCCGCTTCAGTGGAAACAATTTGGGAATACTGATAACATTAAGAAGAATTAGTGTTGAGGAAATGAGAGCAATTTCAGGATAATAGTTCATTTTGTGACTATAAGTGCGTTCTAGAAAATAGAGAGTGTTAGAATCTAACCATTTCAAAGTCTAGCCTGAATACTCCGCCAGGTTTCTAAAATTCTATAAGGATATACCTTTATTGATTTTTTTCACGGTGCAAATTTTTATAGGCAAATCATGCATATTTTCTAGTTGCAAACTGAATATGGGAAAATAAATATGGAAGACACAGCTCAGATATGTTCATTTTCTCAAACATATAATACCTATATGTCTAGATACCTAACATTATTAAATGTATTTGCCTAATATTAAGAAAAAAGATAAATTTTAGATAAAAGGTAAAAAGGATGCATTATTCTCAAAAGCAGATTTTTATTTGGGGAAGATGCAGGCTGTGTCAACACTATGCTAACACAGCCACTGAAAACAAGGTGGAAATTAAGCAAATGGTTATTTCATTTACATAATATCAAAAAATTACAGTAAGTGATATGATGGCAACAGTCTTAGCATACAGCTCAGCAACAGCTCTATCCTAAGTACTCTGGAATCTATCCTAAAAATCAGGCCTCTGACTTATTCTGGAAAGTAGGCCTAACTGGTAATGATACCCAAAGCATTACCAAAAGAAAAAAAAAAATTAAGAAAAAAGCAAGCAGCTCTCTTGACCTAGGATCAGCGGTTATTTCAAATTCTGCTATTGCCCTAGTCTCCAAGATTCCTACTATTTTCTCCTAGCCCATTTTGATACTAGGTGCCAGCAAAGTCTCAGACTCGATCCTTCTGGCACATGTAGACCTGAGCCTTGGCTCATATATTTGAAGCATATTTCTTGCTGTACCCTCTACCCTACCAGACTTCTTTAAGCCATGGCTAGAACAGTAATTCTGATTGTCACCCATATCTAATTGTTTGCCAGAGTTTTCCCACTCTGCTCCTGACCTATACAGCACTGTATAAATCAAACGTCGGGTGTAGTCTGGTTCCTGCTCCCGGATCCTTCCTCCAGAACCCTGACCTTGTTTGCTGTGGCCTGTGACCTCCCATGACCCAGCACTGATTATTAGCTACACAAAGTCAAGCTCTACAGGACCTAGATAGGAATAAACTGTTTTCATTGCTCCCTTTTCCAATGGTTTACAAATATATCCAAGTACGATCAAACTCGAAATATATATTTTACCTGTCTCTGCAGTGTTTTTTCTTGCTTCAAGGATGCAAAGCCTCACAACAGCATTATTGTATGTGGTGTTTGTCTCAAAGGAGCAGGGTCCCAGGGTAGCCTGGTTTGCACTGGGGCAGGCAGAGTGGCTCCTCCCAGCACTGAGAAGCTTCTGAGGCTCTGTATCTGTGATGGATACAAAGCTCGGTGTCTTCACGAGGAGAATCTGCTCTTCAAACAGATGCTTATGCAAAACAAGAGGCCCGCCTCCCTCACGGTCTCTGGTGAGTCTATCAAGTCTCACAAAAGGCTTCCAGTCAACATCCTTTGAACCTTCCGCTATGCACTTCTTCAACACCAACTTGAAAGGCTCATTTGATTCCATTCTGTTTTGCATATTACATACACACTTAACGTGTTTTCCCTTGATATGAATTAATAGGGACTTCATTTCGTTGTCACTGTTAACATCTTAGAAATCCTGATGGGTTCCAGACAAATGTGATTCTAATCTCATAGCATTTTCAGCTTATCAATCATTAATATTAATCTTGCGAATAATGTAACGAACATGAGCTATAATGACTATTTAAATATATTTAAATGAGGGGCGCCTGGGTGGCTCAGTCGGTTAAGCGGCCGACTTTGGCTCAGGTCACGATCTCACGATCAGTGAGTTCGAGCCCCGCGTCGGGCTCTGTGCTGACAGCTCAGAGCCTGGAGCCCGTTTCAGATTCTGTGTCTCCCTCTCTCTCTGCCCCTCCCCTGTTCATGCTCTGTCTCTCTCTGTCTCAAAAACAAATAAACGTTAAAAAAAAAATTAAAAAAAAATATTTAAATGATCATTCTTAGCAGTATTGTTTGCTAGGGAATTAACCTGGAGAGGGCATTCCCAGTGGTCCTTTAATTATCACGTGACATCATCTCCAGGCCACACTAAGAACTGGGAATATTCAGAATCTATGAACAGTGTGTGCATAGTCATGAAAAATCTATACAGGAATATCTTCAACATTTCAAAGCAAGACATCCATCGCAATGCCTCTTCTGTCTTTTAGAAGTCTGATATTACCCATTTTTCTTATCTATCTCTCTGTGGTTTTCATCGTAGCCACAATTAGGTTTGCCGTAACAGCAAGACGTCATTCTCCTGCAGGCAGAGGAAAAAAGCAGAACTGCACCCTCTCCGTGGAGGATTCAAATGAACCCTAGTGCTTAGGTCTTGGCACATAAAACAGGCCAGAGCTTTGTGGCTGCAGGTAAGTAAGCCCTAAATCTCCTAAGGGCTTATTCTTTTTTTTAAATTTTTTTTCAACATTTATTTATTTTTGGGACAGAGAGAGACAGAGCATGAACGGGGGAGGGGCAGAGAGAGGGAGACACAGAATCGGAAACAGGCTCCAAGCCATCAGCCCAGAGCCTGACGCGGGGCTCGAACTCACGGACCGCGAGATCGTGACCTGGCTGAAGTCGGACGCTTAACCGACTGCGCCACCCAGGCGCCCCGGGCTTATTCTTAACAAATTACTCCCTCAGTTTTCACACACGAAAAGCTTTATCTGATGACCTGTCCTTTCCTACGGTCCAATTCAGCTCTGTGAGTTTATCCAATTGAGACAACAGAACCTCACCGGGCTGTGAGGAATGACATATTCATTACCTAAATAAATAAGTCTAAGGAAAAATCTTCAGTATCTAAGGAAACTGAAATAAAATGTGAAAGGCAATTGTCAAGACATTTTGCTTAAGTATAAAATATTCATGTGCTCTGCTAAACTCCCATAAAATACAATATACTTCCGTCTCATGCTCCTCACAGGTTTCTAAAGCAAGAAATAATTTAAGATTTCCAGGTGGCATAATATTTAATACAAGCTCTAGACTGAGCCTGAGCAGCCTATCAAGTGAACAGGAGTTCCTGTTTTCCTACTGAGGGGTACCAAGTTTCACTCAAAGGCAATTTGGTGAGGTTTATTGGCAAAAACTAAACTAGATGGAAATGAGAGGCCTGCTCCCTGCTGTCAGTAATTCAGAAAAGCTGATGTGGCATAAAGGCAAGAAACAGCACGCCATGGAGAATTTGCTAAGCCAAGGAAATCTCAAGGTTCTTTTTAGTCACTTTGACAAGACAACGGTGTCACTAATCCCTTGTGCTTATAGCCAATCATCTATAATTTAGGAGCAAGCTGTATCAGGTACATGCATAAACAGCTAAGCCTACTGTGGTTTGATTCAGCCACCTTATTTTAGTTTCAAACTTGCACTCACCCCATTTTGATTTTAGCAGCCTCTGGTAATCAGGGTGAAGGACGTAGTGAGCGTTTTCTGTGTCGTTGTTCCACAGAATAATTTCTCCATCATAACTTCCTGTATGAGCCAGGATGGCGAATGTAAATTGTCAGAAAGTTGGAAAATATGAGCAACCGCAATGAGAAGTCATTATCAATCATTAGTACCTTATGCAGAATCTGGCACATAGTAGGTACTCTGTATTTTTGGAAACACGAGTGAATAACCGGTACTTTGATTAAACTTTAGAACTTACCCTCCTCATAGCACACCTGTGTATTCACTGTGATAGAAATTACCGTCATATCTTTTTATTTTATAGTAATCAGTCATTCAGAATAAGGGCTTTGTAATTAAACAACTTGAGTTTGATTCCCCGTTCTACCACCTACTGGCTGTGCAAATGTGGGCAAGTTATTTAACTCTACCTAATGCCACAATTTCTTCACCTATCAAACTGGATTAAAAATTGTATTTATTTCATAGGGTTGTTGTGAAAAACAGAAAGTACTTAGAATAGTGCCTAGCATATTATAAGTACAATTCCTAATAATCATTATGCTTTTTTTATTGAGTGAAGGAAGCAAATCAAATCATTCTAGGTTTCTGTTTCCTGCATCTATTCACCTTTTCTTGCGTGTGTGTGTGTGTGTGTGTGTGTGTACACGCTCACATGTTTTCTTTTCCTTCCCTCCCTCCTATATTCTTTACTTACTAATGCTTTCTCCAATTCTAAAATTTTCCCTATAGAAAGTCCTTCCCTACTGCTCGTCGCGGACAATATAGAAAAGCCCAAATAGTGAGACTCAGTCTGACCAAACTTGTCCTGGGGAGAAGCAATACATGACCAGACTGCTGCTCTTAGTGGCTCAGTGAGGAGCGCTCCCTACTGAGCAGAGAGTCAACGTCAAGTGAAGAGGAGAACAGAAGAGCCAAGTTTGAGTGCAATGTATAAATGGTGTCTTTCTTGGGATTTGGAGAAAGAGAGTGATACATACTAAACTCTGTATTGTTCTGGAAGGGGTAACCTGTGTAACTCAAATATTGGCCAAGGATGATGGATTTGCATGGATTAGCTGTATGGGGGAATATCCATCTTCTCCTATGATTTTGAAAGGCTTATGTTGTAAGGTGCTTGACCAAACATTTTCACATAGGACTGAAGGGATGATAACGAATGGAGAAATCATCTACCCACCAATTACAAGGGCCTCTTATGACACTTTCGCAATACAAAGACGCAGCCTTATAGCTTATTTGTCTCCATCACATTTCAGTATGCCATTCTCCCTGCAGAGATGGACTTTCAGCTGCTATCAAGCAAATTCAACTGCAGAGTTGGCCCTACTGGAAAGTAATCAGGTAAGTCCTGAAGACTGGAAATTTAAGTGTACACAGAGCTGTAAGCCTCATATTGTAACACGTCATAGACTTCCTGGCTTTTTTATTATAAGTTTTCATTCCTCTTAATTGATGACATTTTGGGTTCTATTAAAAAAAAATTAGGTTGTCAAAATATGGACTCTATAATTTCATGGTGCAATCTATTTTTATAACTTGTTTTCTTTGGCCAGAAACGATACAATGATTTCTGATCCTCTTTCATTTGTCACATCAAAGCATGCCCATGGAACCTTTTAAGAGCTTGCTTGGATTTGTAGACATTTTGTGAGGTCGGTATTTAACCAACATTACTTAGGCTACATTGTGTCAAAGGGCTAGTATGTTCCCATTATGAAATATCTGAGTGCCAGAGAAGTGTGATTCGTTCTCATCATCCCTAATGCTGCTTCTGGGAAAAGGATAATAAAAATAAAAGCTAACCATTTACTGATAAGCTTACTGTGTGTCACGCACTGTATTAAGCCCTTACACAGATTATCTTACTCAGTCTTCACTTTAAACCAAGATATTGATAGATTATTGGTAGCCAGAGAAGGCTAACAATTACAGTTTAAATAACGTGTTCGATAGGGTGCATTGGTATGTGCTAGAACCAGGATCGAAAGCCAGGTAGCGATGTTCAAGAGCTGACAAGCGTAGCCACTAATATACTGCCCTAGAGATACAGACCAAGGGTAGCTGTAAGGGCAAAGGCCAATTCTTCAAGAAAGTTGTCCATTTTGTAGTTCTGAAAAGGCTTTTTTTAAAGTGACTGAGCCAAAAGAAACCAAACTTTCAACCACCGATTGTCAAGTGAAGGTTCAATTAACCTGTAACAAGAGTTTGTGGAGGTAAAAATGCAGCACACAAGATATCATCACAGTGCTGTATTCCACCTTTCCATTTCTCAGGCTGGATGAAATATTGATTGAAGTTTTGTAGACGGAACACAGTAATAGCCCTAGTAAAAAGGAAGTAAAATTTAGCTGTGAAACCAAATGTGATATAGACATTGAGTAGCCAACATCCATTTGTCATCCATAATCCTGAACTTCCTATGCTAAACTTTTTTTTTATTTCTCTTTGAATTCTCTGGTATATTATGAATATTTAATACTAGAAAGTTAATTACCTTTTCACAGTCATTAACATTAAACATGTATGCATTTATCAGATCAATTATCCACCACCAAGACTCTAAACAACATCTCCCCATATGGGTACCATGGAACCACAAAGACTTATTTGACAGTAACAATAAAAAATGACATGAGTCTGTGAAGAAATAATATTTGGTAGTTTGAACAAAACAAGTAAGCTTTCTTTTCATTAGAGATTCCAGAAGAGCTAACATGTTAACATTCCCTGTGGCATTTTCCAGACTTACCTGACCACAGAGTCCTTTTTCATATAGCATTTCGAAGAGCTATCATTTGTGAAACCCACTTAGAAAATGCCACTCCAAGGGAATAGGACTCTGGACAGGTACATTTTGAACAGAAATAATAGTTTTAAAAAAGCCAATATCTTGGGGCACTGCTGTGAATTTGACAGGCCAGGATGGGCAGAAAATGAAATGCCTGGTGCCTAGTAAAGAAGGGAGGAGCATGAAAATTAAATTGTGGAGGCATCAATGCCACCTTGTTTCCACTTGATGATTTAAGTTCTGGCTACCAGATTGTACTAAGTCTCTCTCCTTCTAGAGGCATACAATCTCAAATGAGCATTTACAAACACAGGCTTGGGGTCTCCACCCGCACTCTCTCTTCACCTACCCGAAATCCTGCTTCTATTCCTACCGCTCCAAAGGTCTCCCAATTGCTCTATCACAGCAGCTCCTCACTCTGAAGGATGTGGCTTTCTCCTCCTGAGAATCATTTTCTTTCTAGTACATCCCACTTCTCTTCCTGACTTCCTGATCTTTCATTCCCTATTCTCTATCCCCCCTTCCATTCTTTCTCCCCTTCTTTTACTATGGATGCTCCTTACTGTCACTTCTCTGTTTCTCTCTACCCAAGTGGGCTTGTGCAGGGAATCCACATACCGCTATAAGTTGCAATCTTGCTTCTCTACAAATGGCTCTAAAATTTATCTACATTCATAACTTTTCCCAGTGCTGAGAAGCTCCATTTGCCAGCTGACAATTTCATATAATTTCCCATCAGCAAAATATCAAGAAATCCAAATTTTTCATCTTCCCTCCACACCAGGTGTGGATCCTAAATTCCCTACTTTGGTTAACAGTTACCAGAACTCCAGCTTCCTGTGTGTTTCTCTTCCTTAGGCACATCAAATGCTTAGATTCCACCTCTGTGAGATGTCACCATATTCATTCCTTTTTATTTAAAAAAAATTTTTTTTAATGTTTATTTATTTTTGAGAGAGACAGAGACAGAATGCAATGGGGTTAGGGGCACAGAGAGAGGGAGACACAGAACCCGAAGCAGGCTCCAAGCTCCGAGCTGTCAGCACAGAGCCCGACGCGGGGCTCGAACTCACGAGCTATGAGATAATGACCTGAGCCAAAGTGGGTCACTCAACCCACTGAACCACCCAGGTGCCCCTCATTCCTTTTTATTTTAAACAACCAATGACAGCTTCCTAGTTCAGTGGTCACAACTTCATCGTTGAATAATTGTAACAGGCACTTGACCAATTTCATTGCCTTTAGTCTACCCTTTCTGGATTAATCATTCCATTTGGGGACTTTTAATATATATTCATTTTACAGGCATTTCTGGTTTCCACCTGGAAGTCCATAGTCAGGTGCTGCAGGGGATAGAGCCATGAGAATAAAAATGACTAAAATGAAAAGTGAAATGTGGCAAATGCCAAGGAAGTACTGATCAATTGCTGTGGAAGTCCAGATATAGAAAGCACAGAAAGCTGAGTGAGGGGTCATATTTGAGCTGGACCATAACAGATGGCTGGTATTTGGAAGAGGAGGGCACTATACGCAGAGGGAACAGTCTGGTCAAATATAAGTCTAATGCCCCTTTAAAAAAAATGTACTAGTTTTCCATTCTCTACATGGCAAATTTTAAACGTGTGGGCCTACATTCAAAGCCCAATACTTTTTGGGTCTAATCTACAATTTTAGAATTAGTTCTCTCTATTCCTGTATCCTTGATATTCAAAGTCAAATGTGAATGTCCGGCTAAATATTTGACAGAGCTACTGGGAGCCATAGGATAAATATGGCTCACCTTCCTAAGTGTTAATTTTATGCAAAAGAGTTTGGGGGAAATATTTTTTTATTTTAAAATAAGGATAAATGAGCTTATGTAATAGAATGCAAAATTAATCTGGACTTAAAAAGTAGAGGGGTGTCTGGGTGGCTCCAGGGCACCCGGGTGGCTCAGTCCATTAAGCATCTGACTTCAGGTCAGGTCATGATCTCATCATTCCTGGATTCGAGCCCCGCGTCGGGCTCTGTGCTGACAGCTCAGAGCCTGGAGCCTGTCTTCGGATTCTGTGTCTCCCTCTCTCTGTCCCTCCCCTGCTCATGCTCGCGCGCTCTCTCTCTCTCTCTCTCTCTCTCTCTGAAAAATAAATAAAACATTGAAAAAAAAATTTTAAGTAGAATACAAGGCTTCAAATAAATGTCATGATTACAGGAACTGTTTGAACTACTAGAGGTATTCAAAGGCTAAGCTTCTGAAGCACACTTTCTTATTTAAGAAAAAAATATGTTTATTTATTTTTGAGAGACAGAGAAAGAGCACGAGTGAGGGAGGGGCAGAGAGAGTGGGAGACACAGAATCCGAAGCAGGCTCTAGGCTCTGAGCTGTCAGCATAGGGTCCGGCGTGAGGCTCAAACCCACGAACCGTGAGATCATGACCTGACCTGAAGTCAGACGCTTAACTGACTGAGCCACCCAGGTGCCCCTGAAGCACACTTTCTTGTTCAACACAAATGATATCTTTACTGTTCTCTAAGCACCCTTCACATTTCTAGCTGCTTCGTTTTCATTCATGGTGTGCTCATCCATCCCTCTATGGATTTCCTTTCACATACAGTCCCACATCTATCCATCCATATACTCATTATCTAAGACTCATCTTGTTCTGGTAGACTTCCTTAATAACTAGAGTTGAAAGAAATATTTCCTTCTTCTCATCTCATCTTACACATCTTACACTGTTCACATTTTACTTATAACATGTAATGAATATTATATAGCTATACTCCCCTGCTAGATTACAAATTCTCAGAAACAAGGAATCTTGTCTTACTCTACAATACCACAATAGCAGGCATTGTGACCTACTCATATTGAGTGTTCAATAGATATTTGTCAAATAAATGAATGAAAAATTCTCTGTCCAAATGTCACTTCCTTAAGTAAGTCTTTTGTGACTACCCTCTCTAAACACTCTTCCTTGAGGGTTAATATCCAAAATATATTTAAAAAAACTTATACAACTCAACACCAAAAAGGCAAATAATTCCAAGTTAAAATGGGCAGAGGATATGAATAGACTTCTGTCCCAAGAAGACATAAGGATGGCCAACAGACACCTGAAAAGGTCACTAATCATCAAGGAAATGCACATCAAAACCACAATGATATATCACCTCACACTTGTCAGAATGGCTAAAACCATGTAAAAGAACAGTGTTGCTGAGGATGTAGAGAAAAAGGACCCCCCCCCCCCACCATGCACTGTTGGTAAGAATGTAAAATGGTACAGCCACTGTGGAGACAGTTCCTCAAAAACTTAAAAATGGAATTACCATATGATCCAATAATTCCACTCCTGGGTATTTACTCAATAAAATGAACACTAATTCAAAAAGATATATGCACCCTGATCTTTATTGCAGCATTATTTATAATAGCCAAAATATGGAAGCAATCCAAGTGTCCATCCATGAATAAATGGATAAAGAAGATCTGTATAAAAAATGTATATATATAAACATATAAAATGAAATATTGCTCAGCCATAAAAAAGAACGAAATCTTGTCATTTGCAACAACATGGATGGATCTGGAGGGTATAACGCTAGGTGAAATAAGCCAGTCAGAGAAAGACAAATACCCTATGATTTCATTCCTATGTAGAAGTTAAGAAACAAAATAAATGAACAAGGAAAAAAAGACACAAACCCCAAAAAGCTATTAAATATAGAGAGCAAACTAGTGGTTTCCAAAGGAGAAACTGGTGGGGGAGATGGGTAAAATATGTACAGGGGATCATGAGTATTGATCTTACCATTGATACTTACCATGATGAGTACAGAGTAATGCATACAATTGTCAAACCACTGTATTGTGCACCTGAAACTAATCTAATACTGCATGCTAAACATACTTGAATAAATAAAAGAAAATTTGAAGTGGGTAGCACTACTTACTTGGAGTTTTCCAATCAGAATAAAACTTGATTTAAATTAAAAGATAAAATAAAAAAGACTCTCCGTTGAGTCTTTCATCCCTCACCCTACGTCATTTCTCTTTATCATCATGTGATATTGTGGTCTATATTTATTTGTCTGTTTACTTACTGTCTCTGCTACCAGAAATAAGCTCTAGGGGAGCGGGGACTTTGTTTTTTTTCTTTCCTGTATCACCGGTGCTTAGACTAGTACCTAGCACATAATAGGCATTTAATAAATATTTGCAGAATTGATGTATGAATTATTCTTTCTTTAAAAAAATCAATAATTTTAATACTAATATTCTTTTAATAATATTACTATGAGGTTTAGCAAGGTAAGATATTATAAATAAGGTACTCTGCAGTTCTGAAATTGCCGTGAATCTCATAAGAGCTTTGCATGCATATATTTTTAATTTTTTCTTTACCTATTGATAAGTTTGGTTGAAGAGATTACTTTTTGGGAATGGAGAGAGCAGAATGGGAGCGAGAGGGAAGAAGTCAATCCTATATCTCTTCTATTACCTCTCAGTCAAAAGTCAATGTCAAATGTCTTTTTGCCAAGATACCCATATT